TGACTACTGCTGCTACTCTGCTAGGGGTTAATCCCCAAACCCTAACAACCACCATGACTTATGACCATAATTTCCAGGCTCAGTTCCATTCATAAATCAAGGACTACCTCTATTTTTAAAGATCAGGTTATGAACATAAAGATCATTACAATTTGCATGATGCCAATGTATATATTGCTAAAAAAATTATGTTATTTTGTAATATCACTGCCAGCAGTATTAATTGATTGGTTTTATTTATTTCAAATAGTTAGCCGCCTCAGTCACCAAGGCAACTTTAGGCAGTATAAAGACAAAACAGGATGAAAAATGGAAATTGTGAATATATGTCTTTTATTATGTAATAAATATATGATTTTGCATAATGGCCATGTAAAAATCATGAATTATTTATTTACTTATAAATTTATCTGCCACCCATTTCATCATAAGGTGATTTTGGGTGGCTAGACCATTTTGCTTGCTTAGACCCTTTTCAAGATTCTAAAGGACAACGTCATGCCCCTGTTGGAGTCTGAATCCAAGGGGGAAGACAAACAGCTGATGGAGTGGGAGTGTGGCTCCATTGGCTGTGGAGGAAACTGGGGAAGGGCAAAGTCCGGCTGGGCAAAGCAGGGGAGAGGGAGAACAAGGGAGAGGGAGTTCAGAGGAAGATCCAGGCCCACCCCCTCTTCATCCTAGGGCACACAGCGAGGAATGGAGAAGAGAGCAACGTGGGTTGCGTGGCTTACGGGGGAGGAAAGGGGCCTGATTCCCTTCATTAGCCACAGCTGGGAAAAGAATTTAAAAGAAATGCATGCAGTATGCGGCAGTTTCTGGGAGCAAATGTGAGTTTATCTTGTGTTGACTTTGCTTATCTGTGTTCCTGGCATCTTCCCAACCATGTTGAGTTATTGCCGTGCCTTCACATCTAGAATTCTTGCTCCTGCCCTGCTAGACTAATTACCTCATTTTGCCTTGATTGGACTTTTAGTTACAGTTTTTGTTGACCACGTTTTGGACTTGATTCTCTACAGCCAAAGGCTGCTCCTGGGAGAGTGTTTCTCCAGCCAGAAGGTAACCAGGACATTGGGAGCAAAGTTGGAGCTAATAAAGGTATTCCTACTGATTATCTGACTGTGTGGCCTTTGTGCCACACCCCGGGTCATCACAGACAACTGAAAGTTTATTTTATCTTACCGTGTGGGGTTTGCCTCAAAGGGGATCTTCGCATTCTCATCTGTCATGACAAAACTTGGCCCCTTTTCTTCAATGCAGTTGGCATCGGGTTTACATCGAAGCGATATGTACCGGCCTTTTTGAGGAGCTCCTGATGAAAAATGGTCTATATGTTGAAATCAAGTTTATAACTTATCAAATGTTGCTACAACAACTTTGTAATGTTGGTACACAGTTATTTATTTATTTATTTGTTTGTTTGTTTATTTATTCAATCAGTTTAGAGGCCACCAAGATCCTGGGTGGCTTGCCACTGGAAAAGCAAGGAAACCACTAAAAAAAATGAAAACAATTGTGGGTGTAAGGAAAAAGAAGAATACTTTATTAAATAAAATTTCCAGAGGAGCTGGAGTCACTCTTCCTCAGGTCCTGGGGAATCAGGTGGGTTTTTAGTGCCATTTTGAACAACATCAGGCTGGGAGGCAGACTGATCCCTGGGGAGATGCTGCTTTCTGGGTCCCAATAGATGGCACTATTTGATTGAAGGGAACATTGCCCAATCTTACGAGATGGGCAGAAATGATCAGAGATACACAGTCCTTCAAATAACCAAGTCAAAATGGTTTTCCTTTCACAAGAAAACGCTTGCCGAGGGGTTTAAAAGTTAATTTTACATTTTAAAACATCTTAATTAAGAGAGACTAATTAGAAACAATAAATCTAAGCATGATGTCTGATAGTAGGCAGCTTACTCAGCAAACATTTTGTCCCATTTTTATTGATTACTAGCTTCAATACCTTATTGAGAAAAAAAACTGATATAAACTGAAATAAATTTACAAGTAAGAACTGAGGAGTTTTCTCCAAACTGTAGGGTCCCAGATGAGTGGAAAAATATTCCTAAATTTCCACTGGTTACATTCATTCAAAATCCTCAGAACTAAAATGTAGATGTATCTGGTGGGCACAAAACTGAGAAAAGCTACGTAATGATGGTTTGTCATAAAAGCCCTAAATACACTAAATTGAAATAGGTAGTGAGCACCCGGACATAATGTCTAAAACTCTAGAACTGTCAAGTTCAAACTCATATTGTACCAATATAATCCTAACACCGTTGATAATTTTAAAAAATCTTTCAGCCATAAAATATGTCATGGTAAGTTCACAAGACACAGGCAAACAGAACCAGACTGTTTGCAGCATTCCAAAGATGAATTGTAGGCATTTGGGATGAGTGTACTAAACAAAAAAAGGCTGAGAAACAGGGTGGCAAGGCCATCTGAAATGGATCAGGCCATGAAATACAAGTATATCAGATGTTCTAAATCTAGCAAATAGTGTTCAGGCTGGGGTAGGAAGATATATTAGGTTTTAGTCCACCTCCTAAAATCAGGTGCTTTCCAGGTGTGTTGAAGTAACTTCATCATCTCTAGCAAGCATCTCTTTAATCATCTCCAGGTTTTAAAAAAAGCTGCAAACATTCTTTTCAAACCGTATAACGGGTCTGGCTGACCTTGGTATAAAAACTCAAACCATTTCCTTTTTATTACCACAACATAGATAGCTAAGTTTCCATGACATGACTGAGACAATCATCTCCCCTAGTTAAGTTCATTGCACATCTAAGCACATGATCAGGAATCACCACATCAGTGGAGAGGAATCATTTTCAAAGTGTCAGAATATGATTTTCTGCAAACTCCAGTAGGAATGAACTTTATGAAACTTCTGAGATAGGTTGAAAAAAGTTCCTGGTGTTTATGTTCCCACAAGAGCAGAATTGGAAGATCATGCCAAGGTACAGTTTAACTGTGAAGTAATTGATGCACTGCAAAGCTATCATTCATTCGTTCATTTGTTTCTTCATTCATTGAGCTTCAGATCTTGTAAGAGAAATTATAAAACTTGCTTACTGCCTTTGCAGTTTGAAGATGCCAAGTGTCCTGTCCGATGGAATAAGAGAGGATTTTTACTGTTGCTAATTCTGAACCAGCTCAGGGCAAAGAGATGCCTCTCACAAGCTCAGAAGTCTAGTCTGTTACCAAAACAAAGTAAGAGTGAAACCATCCCTCCCCAAAATCAACTTGGGTTAAGCCATTTGTGCAGTGGTGGGATACAAATTTTTTTAATACCGGTTCTGTGGGCGTGGCTTGGTGGATGTGGCAGGAGAAGGCTACTGCAAAGTCCCCATTCCCTCCCCACCCCACTAACCTGCTTTCCAGCTCTGTTCTCCTGTGCAGGGCAACAAAAGAAGACCCTGCCGATCAGCTGGGACTCGGGAGGCAGAGAATAGATGGGGGCGGGGCTAGTCAGAGGTGGGATTTGCCGGTTCTCCGAACTACTCAAAATTTCTGCTATCGCTTCTCCAGAACTGGTCAGAACCTACTGAGTACCACCTCTGCACTTGTACCACAAAGCTGTCCACACAGATTGAAACCTTGATGTCACTATAAATGTTACCGGAATTCTTTGTAATGGCTTACAGAATACAGAATAACAAAGTTGGAAGGTCTCTTAGTTCAATCCCCTGCCCAAGCAGAATCTCTCTTTGATAACTTTCCATTTGTTACTTCTTGTCCTGCCCTCGGTGGCTTTGAGGAATAGATTGTCTACCTCTTCTTTGTGACCAGGATCTCAAATATTGGAACATTGCTTTCATGTCACCCCTAGTCCTTTTCTTCATTAGACTAGATATATGCAGTTCCTGCAACCGTTCATAAACGTCATTTTGACGATAAACCTGCTTGTTTTGATGATAAACCTGCTTATCAGAGATTTGCTTCCTTGGATGTCTGCTGACTTCAGCTTCCATTTCTAATCTTCTTGTAGAAGCAAGGCTGGCAGGTCGTTGTCACCATTTCAAACTGGCAGAAGTAAAGGCAATTATTTCCCGGATTTCGGAAAATGAAAAGCCTGATGGTGTAGAACAGGCTTGTCCAACCCGCGG